TACGATGAAATCAGGGACGATTGACAGAAATCAGCTGTCGTTAGTGTGCTGATCTGAAAGACCTCTAAGGTTCCGTCAGTATTGGGTGTGGAAACGTCAAAATTACTAATTTTGTAAGACCAATCAATGTTTCATATTTTGCTCTCAACATCCAAGTCAGTAGTGTTTTTACTTTAATAGTTTTGATTCCAACTCACAAACCATATTTTTTTAAAAATTAAGTAGGAATTCGATTTTGTGGATTATTTGAACACGATATAAAAATGTTTGACATAAACTTTCTGGCAAATAAACATGACAATGAACAAAAGCAAAAAAGTGAAATAGTTACGAAAACCAGACCACTTGCGTTGAACAAAACCGACCAATAAAATTCTCTAAGTACTCATTTCTAGATGCACAACCAATACCAACGTTCATAATAGGCAATGCCTAAATGATACTAGTGTCGCCTGAAGGAGCTGTGTTTCATTGATCTAAGCTTCCGATTTCGAACCAGTAGGCCAGTGGATCGAACCCCGCTTCACATACCTACATCTGAATAGGTAGGTAGTTTAAATGGCTCTCACATATTAGGTGTATCTCGCTGCCAACTGAACAAATGTGCATACGGTTGCTGAGTTACATTTATTTCTTCATGTCCAAACAGTTAAAATCTTTTGTCACTCGTCCCAAATAATACATCTGTTATTTACAACGTTGCATTTGTGTAGTCTTTATTCACAACATCATGAGTTGATTGGTAAGTTCCACTTGCACTAACCTGATGTAGAACAAATTTGCTGAGCAGCTGGAATGAATTATGGTACTCTAAAGACTATAAAAGTAAGACTACACCACTGTTTCCTCGCGGTACACACAGAGGGATTACTAATATAACATAATGAAGAATTCAAGGAAAATTAAAATGAAGTTAGCTACATGAATCTACAAAAGATGTGTCTGAAACTTCAGCGTACAAGATATTTTCACTGACTGATCTATGTCAATCAATGATTCGGGTATATAAATTACAATACGTCACCTTCATACACCATAATTAGACATAAAGCGTGTGCCATTACAGTTCAGTGAAAAAAGGATTGAACGAAATTGATTCTTCTCTCTACATTACTAAACCATCTTCAGACACTTCAACTTAAAGTGTTTGTGAATCGAATCAAAACTTGTTAAAATGTTCTCAAAATAAAGATATATATACATGAACTTCAATAAAAACGGTTTCATTTTACAATAAAAACATTAAACAAATGTTTACAAAACGTATTCATAACAATTAGCATACACAACATGTATTCTAGAAAAAGAAAAACCCAATGAAAAGTATAAGTCTTCTAATCCTTCGTTGATGCACAAAACTGTTGATATTTCCAATCTCGATCCCCATTTTGTTTTTTAGAAACCAAGTTTTTAGATGATAAGACTGGCAGGGTGACACAGAATACTAGTCATGAAGTTCAAAATCATGCTAGGAAATAGGCTCTAAATACCATAGTGGAAATATGGCTAGCTGGCTTAAGCTTTTAACTTTCCGTTGTGGTGCTTATATCCTTCAAACAGGTTCAAGATCCCTAAAACCTTTCACAACCAGTCAAAATAGTCCAAATTTTTGAGGAGAGATACTTGACCATACGTGTTAATATCAAATTGATTGAAGTCTCCTTCCAGAAAGGCCTGGAAATAGCGAAAGCCATTGTGATTCGTACATATTCGGGTGCTGAAGTACATTTCTAGTTATCCTATCACAGTTTTTATCTTTTAAGAAGCTGAGCAACCATCAAGGGTGGAATATGAAGGTTATTGTTTGAGTGTCAACATGTACATATCACGTTACATCATGTCCAAACAGTGGGTCGTGGGTTCAAATGGCACTCCACTTAATTGGGATATGGACAAATGGTTGGTATCATACGCCTGTATAAAATAAATATGGCTTGGAGCCTAGTATATAAATACCTGTACCAGGTTGAACTGCATCATCGTTATACACACCTAGTTTAAGTCTCATTTTCACTCACATAAGATAGGCTTCCCAGTGAAACATCACTAAAAGTAACGTCTGAACTAACTGAGATGGTAGCCAGGCTTAAAGAAGTTCAAAGCCAGGAACCGATAAAAAGATTAAGGCCAGACAGAAGTTATTACAGTGAATAAATAAATAAATAAATAAATACATACATACATACATACATACATACATACATACATACATACATACATACATACATACACACATACATACATACATACATACATACATGCATACATACATACATACATACATACATACACACATACATACATACATACATACATACATACATACATACATACATACATACATACATACATGCATACATACATACATACATACATACATACATACATACATACATACATACATACATACATACATACATACATACACACATACATACATACATACATACATGCATACATACATACACACATACATACATACATACATACATACATACATGCATACATACATACATACATACATACATACATACATACATACATGCACACACAAAATGTCAACAGTAAGCTATCGTCATGCTAAATACAACACAGTGCTGATGACGAAAAAGAGTCGTTTGTTAATTTCTACGATATTCTCGGTTGATTTCATTGGCACTAAATGTAGAATTACAACGGTGGTAATAATACCAAAAACATGGATAGTGGAAAAAAGAGACTGAACGAAAGTTCATATGGTACTAGTATCGGTAATAATAGAACGCAGGTATAAACAAGCTAACGTTGTACATTTAAAAAATCCAAATGTTCGATTACGCTCATAACACCCATCAAAACTGTTGTGTAAAATGAACATCAAATTAAGGACTGAAAACCCAAAACATTGTAAATGGTACTGTATTCCACCAAACAAATTTTAGTTTTAAGGAATGACGTGTTTAAACATATACAAAGTAAGGTAATCGGTTATTTCGTCTTCATAAATCTATCTCTTTATGTAAGCGAATTATTGACAGTTTATTAGTGAAAAGAGTTGGGAAGCAGTGATGCCGTCAGCTACGCCAGTAGAAACTTTATCAACTTCACTCATGCATTTTGAGGAGTAGAAAATTACAGAAACGCGTTGATCATTCTATCATTACTATTTTCTATAACGTAACTTGGTGTGTGTTTTAGTTTCACTGCTTTGATATTCTCCTAATATAAATTGATACCCTTTTGATCGATTGCATAACTACTAAACACTGGGTGGAACAAGATAGCTCTGATACACTAATGTCATGAACTAAAAGCAAGCGGTGAATTCCAAGTAGACGGAAAAATAACTGATGTAAACTTGTTCAATCCATAGGGACAGAATAACTATCAAGCCGCAAAGAATACTGTTTATCGATACTTGAGAAATAGGATGTTATCACTTTAGTCTTGCCCGCTGATATGAACGAAACTGAATCGACATAGCAAAAATTTCTCATTTGAATGTCACTCTTCCTAACACTCCCTTCAAAAATAGTTGAAGTGGTTTAGCAATGAAGTCAAATATACAATTATTTGGTCGCCGAACTATCTCAAAACCCTGCCTCCGAAGACATTAATTCTTACTATTCATCAAGTGAGGAAGTGGCGACCCATCTGAAAGTCACAGATAAGAAAGTAATAAAGTTATGTTATATGATGCATGCCATTGTCCTGTGCTTTGCCCTTAAAACATTCATTGCAAATGAAGTAGCATCAATAGGTGTGACTGTTCTTATTCATATCTTTTATTGCTATTCTAAAGTTAACTGAATATTTTAAAAATGTCTAAAGAGAAAGTGGTAACTTTATTTACACGACCGAAAATTTGATCTGTTGCAACAGATAAATTGATGTACCTCACAAGCGATATTCTCAATGGTAGTTAATCTGTTATTTATCAACCAAAACAGCGAAATTCAAATTACTGGTGTCTTTCATAGGTAAGCTAACTGTTAGGTTGTAATGTACACAAACCCAGATGAAACTGCTATGATATTTGATGAGTTAACGGCCGAAATGAAAGACGACTCTACAAACTTCAAACATCCAAGGTAGACACTGAGTTTACTCAAGACAAATGTTTAGTTAGTTATCAATCAGTAATGATTTCCTCTTGCAGTTATTTTAAATTGGGCCTACTTGTTTACTTAAAAAGGGCAACGAATTGTCCATGGTCTTAATATAGACCAAAAAGTATGCAAGTTGTAATGTCAGATGTGGAAGGCTTACTTTCGCACAAAGTGACCGATGTTTATCTGTAAGAAGTGAAATTTAATTTCTATACTGCTAGAAATAATGTGATACCGTTAGCTGACATTTTTACATAATCACATAGATGGGAGAAATTTTCATTATCGGTTCTTAGATTAATTAAAATAAAACGAACCTGGGAATAATGACGTATATTACAAATCTATGCAATGCTATGAGGGAATTTAAACGGAAATTAGTACAGGTCATTATGGAAACAACTATTTAAGTTGGGAACATCGTTAACAAAGTTATATATTACACAGCTTAACTCTAAAATTCTGATATTATGGCTTTCAACAGTGTGCGTCCAAATCCTAATAGGGCACATAGATTTGTCAACAATTCGTTTGAATATGTGAGTGATATATGCACAGCTTTTTAATGCTGAACAGAATCTTTCAACATTGGTGTATTATTATCTGAAGCACAATATTTCAATTTTATAAGCGGCGTATAATTTGAACGTATACAATCGATTTAGTAAATATAGGTCAGTAGTCACAAACTATCAGCACTAATCATATTCATGAAATTCAGAAAAAAAAAACTATTGATGAACTCTATTTTCGCACGGTTCATCTGTTTGTCTAGGCTTAAAAATCCATTATGCAAATAACCGTACTAAAATATTGATACTCTGATGATTTATATGGAAAAAAGCACAACATACTAATTTTATGTGTACAAAAAAAAGTTGTATTTTACTCTGTTGTACAATTGAAACCAACCTGATAAAGAGTATTCACTTGATTGAGATTCACTAATTCGAACCAAAAAAGAGCCATGATCATTACCAGGTAGTTGAAGATAATGTTCTGCTTCAATACGTTTTAGTTCACCAAAATACCACCTAAAATTATCATCATCACAGTGGAAAAGTACCGAATTAATATTCAAATGAATATGTTCACGGACAAATAAAATGCATAAATTTAAATACTATACATATTATCATCAATCAAGAGTATTATACTACTATGAGTTAAGCAGTAATAAGTGTGTTCGTTCTCTACATTAAAACAAAGCGATACTGCATGTTAAAGGATAAAAACATTTAATACTTAGTGAATTTTCAAAATTAGCCTAGAGAAGTTAAGTGTTCTGTAATGGTGCACACAAGGGTCGAACTCGACAACTGAAGTTCAAAGAATCACATGTTAACGAAGTTAAATCACACTGAACGGAGCTCTGGACAACTTTTACCAAGTGGTCATGGGGTTTGAACCCTAATACTTATTAAGGTTCGGGAAAACAGGTAGCATAAGCCCAGCATAAACGGTTACATCACATATCATCGTGCTTACCGATTTACATGTGTATTTGGCAGACATACATAGAGTAGAGTAATCAAGCAGCTCAGTTGAGGGTGGGAGAACATATACCTAAGTGGCTTCAAAAACGGTTGAAGCATGAAACTTTAGTAAGTGCAAGTAGGGGAAAACCCTTTTCATCTATAACCATATTACAGAAACGCAACTTCACCAGTGGGCACATGATCACTGATTGAATTTTCATTCTTATTAGTTATTATGGAAACTGGTCACGGATCTGATGTTCAGACAGTTTCCAACACTTTATTTATATGGAAACAGTCAGGTACCAAACACCTAAGAGAAAAGCAATTTGCTTATAGATGACTTTTGTTTCTTGATAATACAGCACAACTCACTATCCAGTTTTATGCAGTATAGGTTTTATCGCTTATACTATCTTCAGTTTGCAATTAATTACACTGAAATGCAAGGTTTAAAACTATGAGGAACTTTGAGCACAAAGCGCAATCAGTGATGAATCAAATCTGTCTTGTGAGGGTGAATGATTGTGCAAAATCTGAGTAGGTGAAGTGGGCTTTAACTCATGATCCACTGACTGAAAATCACAAACCTATGGGAATGAGATTAGGTTATGCACTTCTACAAACTACTCTTCACAACACCGGTAGGATACAATGAGTGCAAAATGTCATCTTATAAATAAATAAAACTCATTTAAGTAACACTAGACAACAACAAATATTTTTTGAGATGAGCAGAAAATAGGATACATATTAACAGCATTTTCTGTGGTAGAGTTTATTATCCAAAAGGTTCCCTAATGCTTAAGTGATTGTGATATGCAAGTAAATAGAACAAAGACAATAGTATTATAGTGTTACGATGACAGGAATTCGATCAGACGCGGACAGTGCAAATATTCAAGCGTTAAAAGAGATAAAGGAGTGAATACATCTGCGCCACTGTGACCGATTACGAGTCATCTCACCAACAGTCCTCAACCGCTGATTTCTCTCATCTCAAAGACCTCAGACAGACAGTCCACATCCCTCCACAGGGCTCTGACCAACAGTCAGAGACTTCATCGACTGGTACCATATCTTCGTCTGGTCACCCTAAGCCTGCTCAACCTAATCCAGCTTCCCCTAGAATGGCAGGTGGAGGTAGGTTATGGATTGCCATGCCCAACATATGTCCAAGCCACCTCAGCCAATGAAGGTTTACAATCCAGTCAATCGACTTACCTGTCTTGCCTAGTACCCTTCCCCTGAACTCAACATTGCTCACATGATGATCTAACTAAACGTGAGCAATGCTGAGGAGGCACCTGTGATCAAAACCCTGTAACCACTTCAAGTCTTCTACTTTCAACGTCTATGTCTCGCAGCCGTATAACAGGAAGGAACGGAAAGCAGCGTGGTGTACTCGTCCTTTGATAGGTAGTCACGTATCTCGCCAGTTGGCACCAGAGGTGACGCACGTTGGCAAGTGCCAAACGGGCCTTCTGTATCCGAGATGAGATGTGAAGTCAAACTGGGTGAGTAGTCCCTTAAGACAGGCAGTTATTTGAGTCTGGGTCTCAGTATCTCAGACTTCATGCTAACTTCTAAACACTTCAATGAATACTTCGGAGGGTAATACTAATAATCATTACAAGACTTCAGACATTGTTTAGTCATTTGTTTAATTTATCCTATATTCGTTATGAGCATCACTTCCTTTATATATTAATGATGGGTAGAGGCTAGCAGTGGAATCCAGGATGCGAGTCTCGCCCTACGTGGGACTCGTCAGATGGATGTACCTACCTCCCAGTGAGCGGTGTTGTTCCCACTAAAAACAACAGCACCGCTCACTGTGAGGCAGGTAAATCTAACTGACAAGTCCTAACTACGATTAAACGTGCGTCCTGGATTCCACCGCTAGGTACTATCCATCATTAATATATGATAGAAATATAAGCAATGTTTAAGCATCTATGTAAGATTCCATACGCCACCAGACACCGATCAATTCGACTCAATCAACGACGGATAGTACAAGCAACATCACTTTTTTTGTTTAAGTTTTGTTGGGAAGTTTCCATTTATTTCACCCAGCCAATCGTGATTACCTACGATTTTGGCACAATTTTACTTTTTCGAGTCACCAGCAAGTTACTTTCAAAAAGCTGTCCTTCATGGCGATAATTGGGGAAGCTATTCTGAAACCATACTTACCACTTGAACTAGTAAGTTTCTGTGTAACTTCAAAGTCGAATAACAGGCAGGCTCAGTCAAAGTAAGAAACAAGTGCCAAGAAACATTATCTTTAAATCATTTCTGCCGCCAACGGACTCCAGTCTGGATGAGTCTTACCACCACAACTGATCCTCTCACATTGTGCGATTTTTATTTATAAATGAGTGAAGGACCCCTCTTTGTAACATGAAAGTGATCAAAGATATACTTGAAGCAACCCAGTATGTTTTTAGGACATCTGATACCAATTAAATGAACAACTACAAGTATTGCATACAAATGTGACTAGTTTCTTAAGATGCAAAATAGCTTACAAATGACTTTGAAAATTCGCCTCAACAGATAGTTTTTAAAAAAGAACGGAAAGTCTATGGACAGTGAGGATTACTACAAGCATATAGATCTAGAAAAATCACTTACTCGTTCGACTCCAAACTGGTAACAGCTGCTAAATGATTTTTGGTACATAACCTCGATTTCCAGTTGATACACATTCAGCGTACCACCAGTCGCAATGTGAATTGTCAAGTATATTAAATATCTGGCCCTTTGTCATATTTAAATCATCATCTACACGTTTAACATAATCGTGTAATGCCACGAATTGTCCTTCTGTAGGTATCTGAGAAGAATGGTGAGGAACATTATTTCTTATATGTGCAACTGAATTGTCTTGAAAGTTAGCAGGTTGTTGAGTTGGTGAAAAGTTTGTAGATGAATGTGTGCCAGGTAAGCATGAATTATTTCCAAGAGGTAACTTATCACATAAGGTTACTGGGACATTTGAGAAATCATTTGTTCTTTTTGATCCCTTTGATTGTTGAAGCATATCAGAAACGTAATTTGTAGAGTAGGACTGATAACGCAATTGATCCAAATTTTGTGAAGAATCTGATACCACCGGTGCTGACAGTATGGGGGACGACGTTTGGCCATTGTTTAACACATTTTTAGAAGGGAAAACAGGTCGTCTTTCGACTATTGAACGAAGTGATGGTTCGAAAACAGGGACAGATCCATCATTCTGCGAAAGTCAAAAGTGAAGAGGCTTTTGGGCTATAATAATTTATATTTGACTCATTAGATGGTTACTTTGGCAGGAAAGGTGACCAGTGATGAGCATATATAGTTAAATAATTAATAACTCTAAAGTGAAGTTAGTGTAGGAAATAAGGTGGTCATTTTAGAGAAATACATCTCGATGAAATAAAAATGTTTTTAATTCATAAATGGCGTGATTGACACAACGCTAGACTGGTGCTCTAGAGCTCTGCTCTACATTCCTCCTGCCATAGACTAAAGGTTATGTCCAAATCGAAGCAAATAATGCGGAGTCAAAATTGTAACGCAAAAGATGAAATATAGAAACAAAGCAACATAAGACATGAAATAGCCGCGTAAGAGTCTAAATAACAACAGTAGATAAGAGCATAAGTGTAGAATTCAAAAAAGGGAGAAGAAATGAAAAATCTATCCTCAGAAGTATTAAAATGGCTTGAAACAAAAAGCAGATAATGGTAATAAAGATATGTGGTACTATGGTTAGGTGAAGACAATGTATGAGTGTATCTACACCAAAGTCACTGATTAATTCCTAACCACCCACTTCGGTTATCCCACAGATAATGAGAAAGTTTGCATACCCCAACATACATCGGAGAAAAGGTCAGAGAACTTGTAGACTGATGTCTGCTCACTCAGCCTTTTACCAATCGAAGCCTACTCAAGAAAACAAGGGACGCTGAAGTGAATCGGTTTTGGGAAATATGACTCAGAAAATCGACCACCTACATATTAGTAATACTCTTGTTGTCAAAAATAAAAACTAACCGTGATTATATGTATTAAAACTGTATTATTAGTGGAATCAATAGTTGTGGTGATTATCAGATTAATGACCATTTTCATAGATCCTATAAGGAACGCCATAAATATGCATGTTTTTGACTACCTTAGCGATTAATAAATCCTTTGATTTTTTTAAAATATCAATCGTGACTAGCTGAAATAGATAACCAATCGGTGGAATCGATGATTATGCTACAATAGAATAGTATTCAAAACAACAGTTTTGACGACGAGAAATTCTGTTCAGAATATCACAATCTATTCGCATCACTTGTTTTAGTCGGATATCTCGTCAGTCGGCGCCAGAGATGATGCGAGTTGGAAAATGCCTAGCAGACCTTCTGTATCCAGGACGACATTTTGTCAACAACCAGCCCATTTGGGCCAATGCAACTCGCCAATTAAGTGCAGTGGTTAACGCATTCAACCACTTCAATCCCCATCATTAAACTGGGATTACTTGCAGGTCAGTCGTGGAGCATCATCCTATATTTGACGACTGTCAGCCAAACACTCAGATTTATGTTCAGGGTGTTTAAAAGACCCTGCATTTTGTCAGTGTCCTCACCCAGAAGCACAATGTTGTCTGCATACTTCAAGTCACCAGCGTGCTCTTCAGGGAGTAGATCAACCCTTGTGGAGTCGTGGAGTACCTGTTTTGTTTACTTTTGCATCAATGACAAAGTTAAACAAGGAAAGCGACACTGAGCATCCTTGAACAACACCGTTAGTCAATTTCAACTTAGGTCAGAGTCGTGTAGGGAAGTGTAAACGTTTCGGTTAAGGTTTGTGTGACAACTGAAATAAGTAGCGGAAACTCTGGGTGTTATGGCTCATAATCGATGTTAATGGTGTAGATACCTTCACACAATGTCACCTTAATCGTAATACTTAAGTTCAGTATTGCCCCATTCCTGCTTGTACTTTTTTAATGAATTTTCACCACTTCCGGCTAATTTTGTCTTTATTTCCTTATCTTTCGTTTGAATGCATTCTCATTTGAGGTGCTGATGTGTCAATTTTGACCACTTCGCAATAATTCCAAGATCTAAGTTAATACTGTCTATCTGTATCGATTCATGACATACATAAGCCTTTTAACTGCCGTCTGCTCAAGTGGGAAAAGAGAGGAACATTCAGCAGCCTGGGGCACATCCGTGTAGTAGACAATGAGCTACACCTACTGTGTGAAGGTTAGTGATGCTACTTGGTTGCCTGAACCTCGATAGGTGGAGCGAGATATGAACCCGTGGTTCATCGGCTCAAAGTCAAGTGCCTATGCTAATGAACCACAGTTTTAGCAGAAAGTTAACTAGCATTACACACTTCCATGGTACCCCCTTCCCAGTCAGATGCCTTTCATGCTGTGGGTAGCCGGGAAGTGTCAACCGCCATCACAACTATCATCGCTCAAGTTCCCTCCAACGTCACCTAATCTTTCCTCCCCTCTCAGTCAATATTCCTACAGCAACTTTAATATCTGCTAGCTTTGCAGCTCTTGATAACTACTCGAGCTCACGGAACAGCATTCTCAGTCTTCTGAAACCACGCTCCAAACCGAACACTGGAGCTTTCAATGTCTGCATTCCCCCATCAAATCAGTCAGTGAAACACGCACACAGGACCCGTGTGTGGTGGACCAGGCCAATACGGTGAATCTGCAAAATTCACTCTCCGAGTTTCTGAGGATTTGACTACTTCTTGAGGCCTGTAGATGCACATACAGCACTAATCCTTAGGGCGGGAAGTGAACTTACTTAACAATCGCAGCTGACAGTCACCTGTGCGCTGCTCCACTGAAGGGCAGGGTGAGAACTGAAATGAAAACAGATAAACTCACTGCAGCCTCTTTATAAATTCTTATTACGAATCTAATAACTGTAGTTCGGAAGTGAAGCATGAGTCCTACCGAAAAATACCTAGCCTTCTACTCAAAACTCAACATTCAGATGTTGTCGCAGAAGGTGGTTTCAATAACACGAGTGGGAAGCCTAAGTTAAACAGTAAGTCATTTAAGCGAAACGTTCAGAATTCCAGTTTAATAAACGACAACCACCTGCAATAACTATACAGTAGGTGAGTAGAAACGTCAGGTATTGTCTGACTTGGCATATCGCAACCTCAACTCAACGGTGGATACAGATAGACAATACTGTCACCAGCCGTTCCTGGAGAGGGATGGTAGAAGATTGTGCTCCTTCCGCATGACGTGGTCCAGCACGCAAATGTCTGCATCTAAATGTACGCGGGAAAACTACGGCAATCAGATCGTTGTGAATGCTGCTTGACGACGGGAATCGAATTGAAATAGAAATCTACTCAGTAACCTCGTAAACGTTTGCGTAGCGGTTATTTTGTGAAGGCTAACGATACTTCGTCGCTAAGCAAACCTAAAATAGTTGGACCTGGGTCCGGTTCGAAGACCCATCATTTAGAAATTGAGTGCCCAAACTCCTGACGATGAGAATCATAAAGTCACTTGAAGCAAGAAAATGGTTAGACAATTATTAGTTTCAGCAGGAAATAACCGTCATATTTGGATCGAATAACTCTGTACCTGATGCACTATCTTGGATATCTCTAATATGTTGTAGTAGAAGTATTGACCTCGTTGAATTGACTCATCTTCAAGAAGAAAGTGTTGAGGTGAACCATGAGCTGTCGTCCACACATCTTACAAGACAACTGAGACCAGCATGTTCTGGTTAAGATAATTTTATTCAACCGATCTGCTAGTTGACCGTGTTCGTGGCATGATTTGCATTCGTGGTTATTGTTCTATGCAGTGAGTAAAATTCGAAATATAGAGCGTACCTCCCGGGGCTTTGGCACTCAAGTAGCATTATCAGCCCTAAAAAGCTAGGTGTGGTTTACCGACTAACGCACGTATGAGTGGTTTCCGAAAAGATTTCGACACATCCGAAATTTGCCTGGTTTTCTCGCGTTTTTCATTCATTGAGGTGTAGTTGGGAGTCGGATAACTACGGACCCTAAGACCTCAAAAACGATATAAGTTGAACTGATTCCCTAGTAGTTGTCTCGAGGAAACGGCTTTTCTTATAAACGAGAACTATCAGCGATTAAAGCAAATCGGAGAGGACTACCTCCAATTCCCAAACACTATTACTCCCGTTACTCTTTTCATAAATTTCCTACCTCCGTTAAAAACTTCCGGTGGTGAGCCGACCAAAACAGACCACTTCCTGCGTCCTAGAAATTCGAAAATGCATAATCCCAATGGAAATCGGCCGTGTAGCAGTACCGCATTTTTAGAAAGGAAGAAATGCATACCAAAAATACGCATATTTTTCTTCACATTTGGAGAGTCCTGCATTTTTTCGGTAGCTTGACATGAGGAAATTAAGTCACCTAAATACTCTCAACTAGATGATGTCTGCAAAATTATTCATTAATCATATTAGTATAAGCTGTCGTAAAACTATACGGCCAAGTAGAGCAATTTCCAAGTGATACAGTTGCCACAAGTTAACATACAAATGACGAAGCTGAATGTATCCTAAGAATAAACATCAGAATTCCTATGATTTATAAAAGTTTTTTTTAGCTATTTCTACTGCTTGTAACCAAAGCATGTTTCGTTAAGAAATTTATCTAGATTCTGAACACCCATATATCAAAACAGAATTATTTTGCGTCGATATTTGGTCGACTCTGTATTATTTGCGTGGAGCTGCACAAGACGCATTCGTCTCGCTCACATCATGAGGATATGAAAAAAGTTATTTCTGACTGACGTCTGAACTCAACATCATGGTTATCCTCATCAGAGTGGATTCATGTCAGTATTACAAATCAACTACTAGAAAACTACAAAGACGCTCTTCGGCTACCATCAGAAACCATTTATTGATATCACAAAATTACACAGTTCATTATAGGTGTTAAGTGTACTAGATATCACCCACTGAACAAGAAAAGTACACATTCTCGTGGGCCAAGATGAAGAAAGGCAACCAGAGAACGACTTATTAGGCTGCTTAAATACTAATCAACGGAAAACAAACACTAGCTTGTGGTTATAACAACTTGGAATTCACTGATGTACAAAACGTACGTAACTGATGAGCTCCACATGATTTTAACTCAGCCTGTTAGATAACTATAGTCAAAGTAATCTCAAAAACAACTAGTGTCTATGCCCATATTATGATTGATTAATATGAACACACGATAACACTCGAAAACGACAAAGTGTTGGGAGATCAGTACACTATAGCCACTACAGCTATACAACCAAGAACTCAGCGATCGCACTGCGGTACACCTGGGGTTCATCTTGCGGAACCAAAAAAGTTCTAAAAAGCCTCAAGTTCTGCGTTCCGTGAAGTCGGTGCAGTATTTACTACAACCGAAGCAGGGTTAAGCTTATTCATGGTGCGTACCATCACATTCAAAAGCTGTTCGAAACCAAGAAATTCCATATGCTTTTATTTATTTCGCTCTGCTGTTTAAACGACCAAGACTTCGTAATCCAAATGCTGGCCTAACGGTCTACAACCGTATTCTGATTTTCTTGCAAAAAAAAGGAGAAGAAAAAAGGACTTACAGCAGACACTGCTATCCAACTATTTTGATCATTGCTAGATGAATTCGAATTTCCCATTATCGAATCCTCCCATAAGAATAATGTGCACAAAATATCACCATGCACAAGCAGACGAAGCCATCATATTCAAACCCACCGGTTTGTGACCTACAAACAATTCACGCGCACTGTAAACTCACCATGTTTATTCAATCAAAATAACAACATACGGATACAAATTTATCTAATCGTTCTGTGAACTTAGCTTTCGTAACTTTACCTACTATAAAACATAGACGTAAAGTAATAATTCATTCTTGTGTGGCATATTAATGTTATCGATCTTACCGTAGAAGGTTGTTAGTCTTCATAAAAAAATTAAAACTACTTGTTTTAGAAATGGCAAACAATTGCTTTTAAAGTTACGTATCTGTCTTAGTGGAATGGTTTCTATGTGTGAAATGGTGGGTTGAGTTCCGGGACCGAAATACGTAAAAGGATAGATGTAAGTAATTAATTCGCTAGCTTTGTGCCGACTAGCGGTTTTCTTCGGGCCTGGATCTACTCGGCTTTCTGCAGGGGGCGCGTAGAGGGCTATCAGTTTGACGGTGGCCACCAGAATACAGGAGAAACAGGGAAGGGAAGACCAAGGGCCAAAGACCAAGCAAGTACAGCTTGCTGTAAATAGTGCCGCTAACCATGGTTTGCAAAACGACTGGTAGTTTCTTGAGAACAGCCCACTTGCATCAAAGGGCAGTGTATATGCTTCAAACTCCTTTTGAAGACGTCGGAAGAAGAAGTTGTGACATTTCTTTCAGGGAGTGGGGCCACTGGTAACATACTCTAACTGCGTGGATCATAGAGCTAGTTCTCTCTTACTCTATTCTGAAAGCATGACTTCTAAGCTGAGGTCTCTGAATAAAACTTCAAAGCAATCGGTTAAGAGTGGGACGGTCATGAGCTATGTTATGCACCATGATCATATCCCTTTTAATCCTTCCATACTGCACTGGGTACAGATTAAGATCAACTAAACGTTCCAGATAAGGTTTGTGCAGTAGCCCAATCCCTTTCCTAGTATGTCTTCTCTGAACACGTCACAGGATGGTAATTTACTTCTTCAAATATGGGGATATGATCAGCGAATTTTCCTCCGGATAAGGACGAACACTGAGCTGCTAAACTGTAGTGAAAAGGCCCTGGTCTAAACTACACAGAGTAAGAAGTCAGAGACCTAGGTCACCACATCCACCGTTGGCTGCAAGGAGAAAATAGAGAGAAGCTCCTATTGTGTCATGCCAGATGGCCCCCGGATTCCTTTGGGTGAATAACATTTGTTTCTTCCAAGGAGCAGAGACTAGAATTATGTCTGTATTTGTCTAAAATCAGCATCCTAACCTTATCCAGTTTGGGAGGGAGCAGGTCCTCGCTTGTCCACTCTGCCATTTCAGAAAGGTCCTCCTGTATGGCCGCGATATCTATCAGCCCGTGTACTTCCCTCCATTTCTCAGAGCCACCACCAAACAATGGTAATCAAGGATTTAGGTCTGCCTGCAAGCCATCCGTAAAGGCGAGAAATGATAGTGGACCGAGAATGGAACCCTGTGCGCTGCGGTCAGTATAGGAAACGCTTTGATAAAGGGGGCCACACTCTGACCGGTTGTTGATGACTGCCAAGTTAATCCATAAACCAACTAAGCAACCTTTCGTGTACCACATGAGCAGAATTTTCTTGCACAGAATACCACGATTAGCCTTTCGAAGACTTTGGAATATCCAGATAACCCAATAATAATAGACTTTTTCTGCACAATGCAAAAAATTGAACTATCCCACGCCGTCAACAAGGTGATGAAAATTTGCACTGATGGTCGGCTACAATTGAGCTCTCAGGTAAATAATCATGAAATAAATCACTTACTACTACTTCCGTAATCTCCGTAATAGAAGAGACCGGTGAGATTGGTCTATAGTTAGTTCATTGACACTTTTATATACTTTGACGCCAGCCACCTGTTCCCAGTCCAAGTCAGTCTACCCTCTTAAACTGGATATCTGAGGAGGTTTGCTGACGGGATAAACGGCGCACTCGCACGCTGTTTAGGTGTTCTTATGTGAATGTTGCCAATTCCTGAAAGTTTATTAAGGTCGAAGCCTCTCAAGATTCCCTTGATCCTAAGAGGCTTAAATTTAACACGGCATAACCTGTATGCAGTATCAGTAGCTACCTGATGCGTAGTCGCCCCTTCCGCTTGAAAAACTATTCTGAAATTCCTGAGCAACCTAGCTACCCCGCAGCTAGTGTGGTAAATCACTGAACTTATAAGAAGCAGTACACTGAATGAAAAACTACTCTTCTTTTTCATCGGAGTAGAATCCTCCATGATTCTCCTCCAGTTTTCTGCGCAGATGTGCCAGTTTATTCTGTCGCTTCTGATTCCTACTGCGTATCCGTCGTGAATATTCATGTGAATTCTGCGCTCGCCCAAGCCACTGGAAACCCCCAGCCAATTCCAAGCTGACCCTTCATGCTCTGCTGGATTATGAGTGCTGACTTCAATGGACTTTTCAGAGAACTTTAGAAATGCAATGGACCTCTTGTGGCAAGTTCATCTATATTCGCTACCTTCAAGCAAGCTTAAGTAGATTTATTGAGTTACTTCTTTTTTTCTTTCACGGAGCCCTTGCATTTTCAATAAGCGTGAGTTTCAGCTATATTTCTGGCAGAAAACGTTACACATATGGATGAACACAAAAATTCAGTAGGCGATCCATCGCGCCATGTTTGTGTGAGTTGTAAAATATTTTTTCTTTTAGCCTGAGGACTGTCACCATCTGGGATGAGTGAGAGAGGGCAAAACGAGATCACTGAATTATTCCGTCCTTAAACACTTTCCCGTCTGGTGCCCAGATCAAGTAAGTCTTCAGAATCCAGCGATGTCGTACTTTCAAATTCATGTCCAACCTTTCATAGTCAGTTTTCGTTTAACTCCTGTCTAGCTGTTGATAGAAACCAGAGCGTGACCTTCCCCCCCGAAGAGGGCCACGGGCAATTAAATTTGCTAAACTAACAGATTGAGTGGTAAGAACATAATCTAGCTGGGCTCCTTTGCCGTCAGACTGCCGGAGAACACACTGACACACATGTTCAGTCTAACAGTTATGCAGTGCTGATTCCCGAACTTCTCTTTCAAGAGCTGGTGGATGTTTGGTGGTAATGAACTGATGAAAGTTGAAGTTACTCATAATGAGGACCCGAAGAGAGTTCTGACGTAAAGCTCCTGCAGCGAACGGAACCATTATCTTACCGAAAGACGTGGGGGCCCCTAGAGGACGGTACAAAATCCAATCAAGTCATACTCCCGAGAAACTTTATGTTACAGCAGGTACATCAGTAGACTGCATTTGCCTTACCAAGTATTGTAATACCGACGTTACGACCGTTAGTGAAACTGTTCGGCGGTTCACAGCGTTCTTTAATAATCTATAACATAATATGATAATACACAATAATATATTTCATACAGCACAGTTGCATAAAAACAAACCTGTTTACAGGTTTGATCATCTTGGTAATAAAAACTGACCGTTATGTACAATGTCAAGCTATAAATAAGACACCGTTGTTTATGGCACATAGGAGATGCCTCCAGAGAGAGAAAGTCATTGCTTCGCAGACAGCAAACAATGAAACAGTGTTCCGAAGTCATTATGCGTCCCGAGGTATATTCATTTCCCACATACTAACAGAAACAGCCCACTAGAATGGAATAACATCATTCCCCACCAAAGAAACTAAGTCATATAGATAAACATGAGCAATATACCCAACCGAAAATAATATGCTACTCATAAAATTGTGATAGCAGCAACGCACAAGCACCCTTATAATTATCAACAATAAAAGTAGATATACGGAATTACTAATTAACTTGGAATGACAATGGAAAAAACAGCACAAAAACAAAATCAAGGGTTTCAAAACTACATATAAGAAGCTTCATACCAACACGCCTCCCCTCTTTTCAGTAACCACTCCTGTTGTTTCCTTGACCTAGGATTTCTCGTAGACATCGGACAGTCAGCTTACCCCAGTAGACACCGTGGAACGTTTCCGAAAAGCAGCTAGTTCTTTGTGACCTGTATTTCATAATAACTGCAACAACCGGACTTGATTGGAGACCTTTTTCTCTACCTGATTCGGTTTCATGTGGTTCAGATCGGCGAAGAATACTGTCACGAGGGCAACTTCCCCTTTGGTAGATTTCCGGGGACGTTTGCGGCTGTGGGTAATTTTGTCATGCTTAGTTGCGATGACCAAGGCAGGCATGGTGCGCGATAAGTACTGTCGTCAGTCATAAAAAGTGGCACAATTGCACGAAGACGAGAAAAACAAGACTGATGTTCTCACAGTGAACTATGTAACTTCAGACCTCGGTATAAGGTGGAAACAGGTGTTAACAATGTGAGGTGAATGATGAGTACAATGAGACACAAATGTTATTTGTCCATTTCTAAATTTCAGGACTACCGGAAACCACACTAGTGGGACAGGTGGAAATCAGCAGTACAGATGGATAAAGTATCGTACATCCATAGCGTTGAGTATCACGAATACGAAACAAACCTCGGAAGAGATCATTTACAGGTAATTCAGTAGCCATCTTCGTACAACTCGTACTCGTCGGTTGTGGGCTAGTACTACGGCACTAACGGTAGGAATAGCAGCCAAATAACCGCTCAATAAAACCCACCCACACGAGTCGCTTAACGTTCGTTGTTTACGCGCAGGAATTGATTCCTAATGGCGGACTGCTCAGGACCCCGACAAGTGTTTTCAGGTGGCTCTGACAGTTTATGGCAATCACTTGAACAGCCGCCCAGGGTTAAACAAACACATTAGCAGGTTGAAACATTCCAGTGGCCACCAAATCTAACCCAAACGTCTGTAGGCATTTTTTCTCCCTCAAGTTTCGTCTCCAGCCGCTGGATACGGCAGTAAACGCATCCGACATTCGATTCATTCGCCTTAAGATCCTCTCAACGGTTGGATGGTCTGTAATGTCGTTATGCCAAGT